ACCATGACCTGGATAGCTGAGAATCTCCATAGAAACTACTAAGAATAAAAAATGGGTATCCCTTCAGGCAGAGGAAACTGTTCCTTTGGGTCTCAAAGAGAAGCAACTCAGGAGATTCTCTGCTAAAGGAGATGATGGGAAGGGGTGGCAATAGAAACTGAGTGGATGGTTCTTAATTTGAAATATCTGTTTCTACTACTTGATGGATGTTTAAATAGATTGCCCTACTTCATCCCCAACTTTCAAAATCTCTGAGCAGGATTTCATTCCTATTTAATTCAAAATTCAACATCTTCTAGAGCAGGTAAACCAAAGGGCAATGCTTCCTGCTTCAGATGGAAGTAGATATTTAATTTATATCTCACCCATCTCACTGTCAAACGGCTTTGGGAAGGATATCTACCTCCAGAAGCCACGGTTTGAGTTTCCGATCAAGGAGGATGTCGAAACCCAGAATCTCAAAGCAGGCACAACCAGAGATGTGGTTGGGGAAGCAAGTGCGATAGTTGTGCTTCAGAACTGGGTGAGCAGCAATGAGCGTTTTGATTATGATGTCCTCAATGTCCCGCCACAGTTCAGCTGTGTCATAGCTATGCTCCCGCATCCAAGTGTTCAAGGTGGATAGCTTCCTGTTGAGTCAAGAGAGGGAGAAGAGCTGCTGCAGGAGCAATTCTACTCCAGCACTGCCCTAGGATCACTGAGCAACCCCCCCCCCCCCCCCCCCCCCCGAACTCTAGGTCCTTCCCAAGGGAGCCTGGCTTTCCCTTGGTGTGCAGCCACATTCCTCTAAGTCACAGAGGGGTGCAGAGAAGCCTATAGTTCCCAGCCTTGTCCAGGGTGGGTACAGCTATTTGCTCTAAAGCAGAGAGACTTCTCCCAGCTGAGATGGAGATCCTGACAGAGCCTTTCCCACCAGGACGCAGGTATGCCTTGTTGCCCCCTCAGGAGCTGCACAGATGAGGCAAGTCAACTTTTTTCAAAGCAGCTGTTTCATGGAGTTGAGAAACGTTTCCTACAAATGGGCACCTGGTGTCCTATTCCGTGCACACACACACACCAGTCCCTACTAGCAGAAGTGCTGCCTCCTCTCCTGCAAGGGATTGGGTACAAGCAATACCTCTTGCTGCCCATGTTGTCATCCCGCACAAAATTCTCATTATGCTTGTTGATGGCATAGTTGGTCAAGTGCATACAGATGTCATCCTATGAGAGAGACATTGAAAGGGGGAGCCTGATTCTCCACTCCTGAAGGCCACTGGAATTCTCCCATTGCCCACCTGCTTCACCTTCTCCTTGTTCCCCTGGACCAACAATGTGCCAGCCCAGGGAGCCCTGCAGACCCAAGGATGGCGTTCACCATGTCAAGTTCTCCATAGTCATTCCCAAAGCCCCATCAGACACCAACAGCTTATCTTCCTACAAAGCGAATGCCAGTTCCTGGGCTTCTTTACCAGGTTGCTGCTGTTGGGCTCGATGTACCTCATGGTGGCAAAGCGGGCCAGCCCCTCCTCATAGACAAAGATCTTCAGGGGGTCGCAGGAAGTGACCAAGACATAAATGCGCATGTCAAACTTAAAGCCATCAATGAGGAAGGGCTACAAAGAGAGGATGAGAGACTGAGGGAAAGGAACAATTCCCAGCTGGCTGATTCTAGCCCAGAGCACACGTGCCGAAACCACATTCTCAACTGTCTGGGGCTCTTGTCTCTGCCCCAGGGCTGAATAACTGTTGGCCTCCTGGGCCTACCTGGGCCTACCTTAGTAATATACTGCTGGCAGATCATGTGCTCGCCATGCTTTATTTCCTTAGGGTTCCGGGTAATGAAGATGCCCCGCCCCTGGCAGCCACTGTCCGGCTTGCAAATGTACGTCCTGTTCTTCCTCATTCGTCCATAGGCTTGGAAGTCCCCATAGCTGCAGAAAGAAAACATAAGGCAGTGATGACGAATGTTTTTCTGCTCAAATGCCAAAGGGCGCGTGCACAATACCGTGTGTGTGCGTGCCCACACCCATAATGCAATGCCCTCTCCCTATGCATGCATGCACAACCCCCCTGCACTCCCCCTCCACGCATGCGTGCAGGCCTCACAGAAGCCTCCGGATTTCTGGTAGGCACATTGGGCCATTTTTCATCCTCCCCAGGCTTCAGAAAAGCCTCCTGAGCCTGTGGAGGCAAAAAAAATGGGTCCAACGGGCAAACCGGAAGTTTGTTTCCAAACTTTTGATAGGCCCATTGGGCCTGTTTTCCACCATCCACATGCTCCGGAGGCTTTTCTGAAGCCTGGGGAGGGTGGAAACAGCCTCCTCCCGCCCTCTGGAAGGCCAAAAATCAGCTGGCCAGCATGCACTTGCGCGCTGCAGCTGACATAGGGCAATGCCTCGTATGCTCTCAGACATGGCTCTGTGTGCCACCTGTGGAACATGTGCCATAGTTTTGCTATCACAGACATAGGGACTGGCATGTAACTGACCCACGTGCATCCAGCATCCCATGCCATGTCAACTGAGAGGGTTCTCTGTGGCTGGCACAACCATCACTGCCTCTCATTCACTCACTCAGCTGGCAAACACCAGGTGCGAGGAAAGATGCAGTACTCCTTAGGAAAGAGCCTCAGCATCCGGTTGAGGTTGCGGGCCAGCAGGTCCTTGCGGCAGATCTCGGCCATGCCAGGAAAATGGTTGATTTTCTGGAATGAAACAAAAGCAGAAGAAGAAAATGGAAGTGTCTTGGCACAGCTTTTGTTTTGTTGCTCTGCAGAATGCTTTGCTCCAATTCTCAGTCACGGAATGCATCTTCCCAACAGTTTTAACATTTAAGAAAATAATTATGGATACATGTAAAAACAAAACAAAAACCCAACCTCCATAATAAAAAATAAAGGCACATTAGCAACGTTTTATTCATTTCACCCAATAACTAAACAAAGTGAATTGTTGCATAAGAGAATATGGGGGTGGAGTGGAAATACTATAGATAGGAACCCAGCTATGGCCCCCCTCTGGTTCTCATGCTTCTGAGGCTCTTCATATCTTACCCCACTTTTGGGAGTTACATGGAATGGGCAGTATAAGCCCTGCCGCAAGATATACCAGATCCTAGTGCCTCTCCCTCTCCCTTTCCATCTCCCAACTCCTCAACTCCAGGAAAAGGCTCCCCACTTTAAGAACTTGGCAGTCAGCCATCCTTCCCAAGCTATACAAGAACTGAAACCAGAACTTCATTTTCTCCACTCCCTTCACCCTGGCTGTGCTGGGTACCTGGAACCTCTTCATTTCCATGACACGCTCCAGTGAAACTGAGCAGTCAGTCCAGTAAACAGTCCACTCCTCATCCTCCCCCACTTCTTTCAGGCCACAGCGCCGAGCAGCACGCCTAACTGCAGCAAAGTAAGAAGATGGACAAAGCTGGTTCCAAGAGGCAATCATCTTCTGGCCTTGCTTGCAGGACCAGAAGCTACAGGTACTTGAACATCAGGAAGGATCATCCAGATTATTCAACCCCTCCAAGGGAGTCCCTGGAATCCTCCCTTTCCCAGCAAGGGATCCAGTGGCTCTCCTGGCCCAGATCAGACAGCAGTGGCTCATTCCTGCATTACTGGCACAAAGCTAATAAAGGAAGACTTTATAGCCGACTCCTGCCTGCTTCTCCCACTCCAGAAACCCCCGGAGATTTCACTCGTTAGACAGGAGTGGAAGTCAGGTTACCTCCGGTGATTTCCCTTTTGCTTTGATTCTGTAGCAATCTCTGGGCCGAGGGTGCAGAGGGAAGCGCCAAAAAAGCCACCTTTACTCACCGCTTTCGTATTTGCAGTTCGCGAGGTTGATGGAAAGCAGCCTAGGAGGAGAAGGGAGAAGGGCGTCGCGCAGGGCGGGAGAGGGGAAGGCGGCGTTGCTGGCCTCCCATAAGAAGCTCCGGCCGGCCGACCGGCCGCAGGAGGAGGCCCGGGGCGCTGCACCCCCCTCCCGCCCGTCCTCAGGGAGCGCACCGGTGCCTCCTCTTCCTTTTCGGCCGGGGCTCCTCCGGCTCGGCCTCCTCCGCCGTGGGTTCCTCCGGGCCGGCCCCGGGCTGTTCCCGGCCGGGCTCTGGGCCTCTGTCTGGAGGGGAGGCGCGCGGAGGATCCTTCCGCTCGGCCTCCGGCCTCTTCAAGCATTCGTTGGCAGACTCGTCCGACAGGCCGCCGTCCTCCTCTTCCTCGTCCTCCTCGTCGCTCTCGTTCTCGGACTCGCTGCTCTCTTCTCGGCCGATCTTCATCCTCTCGGGCCCTGGGGCGAGAGCAGCGGCCGGGCCGTCAGCGCGGCGGCGGCAGCGATTGTGACAAGCGCAACCATTATTACTGCCATCCTGCCGCCCGCCCAGCCGGGACACGCTCCCCGCGCACGGGTGGAAAAAGCCTCGTTCGCGGTGGGCCGGCCTGGCTCGCCCGCCCCGCTCACCGAGCCCGGCGGCTCTCCTGGCACAGAGGCGGCGCCTGAGGCTCCCTCGGGCCGCGACGCGGTCTCCATGCCGACCAGGAGCCCCGCCCTTCAGGCGGTCTACGGAGGGCGCACGGAGCCCTGGCGCCACGACAACGAAGGACGCGAAGCTTTCGTCATCTGTGGGCGACGGGATGGTTTGACGGGGCGCCCCTTGCGGCTGAGAGGTTTCTGCTCGGCCCGTGGGCAGCGGTAGGAGGCGAGCAATTAAAGCCTCTTTTTTGGAGCTACCAGGACGTGGTGAAGGCAGAGGGTGGGGCGAGCTTTAGAAAAGTCCCTCTGTTCAGCTGTAAAGCTCTCCAACTGCCTGCAGATCATTACAGGTGGCAGTACAGGCAACTGGCGTGATTTAGGGTTCAATAGGAAATAAGATAGAATCCCTTGAAGAGGGTGGTGATGCCAGTCACTGTTACGGGTCTTTTAAGACACCGCAGGATGATTTAATTGGGTTTACTGTAATAAAAAACTCAGCCTGTGATTTCCCTCCTAGTAGCAGTGAAGCTCTTCCTCAAAAATGCTTACAGGCCTCTTTAAATACCCCCATAAACAAACAAACAAGCCACTTTCCCAGAGATATTTTATTTTCCTTACCAGTTATTAAGCCTTGTGCTCCTCAGTCTTACTCTTTAGTTTATACATCTTCTTAGTCTGTAAAGAACACTGTCCATGCCTCATAAATTGCTGGGCTCATCTGGCTTAACTGGGCTTATCTCAAAATTGTAAATTCAGCCCAAATTTCATGCATGCAAAATCAAATTTGAGAAGGGGAGTTGGGTGTCCCAGAAAGACTCATAAGGCAGAAATGCCTCCCTGAGTCCCCCAACTTCCCTCAGCCTGGCTTCCTCTAGAGCAGCCTCCCCTGGGGAAGGGAAGGCCATGGAGGGGAGGGAGGCAACTCTCGGAGGAGGTCCACAAGCTCTTGCTGGAGGTGGGCTAACTGGCTGTCTGGCAGGAGACATTGCTGAATCCTGTGAAGTGCTGAGGCCTCAGTGAGGCCTTCGTATTCCTGGACGGTTTTGGTGGGCAGGTGTCCTGCCAGTTCACAAACGGCCACATTGAAGGCCAATTCTTCTTTGGTACCGAAGCAGGCTTTGCGCGCCCAAAGAAGGACCCGAAGGCCAGATCGAGCTCTGGAGCCGAGGGGGCCCGCGGGGGCAGCCCCGCGGGTGGCGAACAAGTTGTGAGCAATCTCTCGCTGGCTCAGATGGCGGGTGGCCCGGCCGATCCGATGGGCCAGCGGCTCCACCTGCCGCACATCTTCGCAGTAGAAGAAGAAAGCGGGCGCCGGGGCTTCCCGCAGCAGGTAGAGGCCCGCTTCGGGCAGGAGGGGCTCGCCGGGGGCGGATTCCACCGAGAGCTCCCAGTCCAAGTAGAAGCCGTGCAGGTGCAGGTGGTTGACGGAGGCGAAAGCGCCCAGGCTGTTGAAGCCTAGGCGGAAGCCGGGGTGGGCACTGAGGAGCACGGCGTCCAGCCCCGCCAGCAGAGCCTCCGGGGTGAGGACCTGCGGCAGGGCGAGCGCAGGGTCCGGGATGAGAAGCACGTGTCCCCGCTCCAGCGGGCTGACGTTGATGGCCACCAGGGTCCGGGGCGAGCTGGCCAGGCCGGGGCAGCGCCGGCGCAGGCAGAAGAGGATCTCCTCCCGCCGGATCTGGCCGAAGTTGAACTGCCGGGGATCGAAGCTCTGCCGGACACTGCGGACCTCCTGGGGCCGCCGCCTCTCGGCCGCCCGCTGCACGTTCAGCTGGGCCACCAGCGCCAGCCGTCCCGGCAGGACTCGCGTCTGCAGCCGGCCCAGGCGGTAGCGGAAGAGGCCCCGCCGCAGCCGCTCCTCCCAGCCCTCCAGCAGTGCCCTGTCGAAGCGCGACCAGGGGGGGCTGCCGGCCGGTCCCGCGCCGCTCCTCGGCCACTCCGCCCCGCGCAGCACCAGCTCCTCCGGCCCGTAGCAAAAGACCTCGGGGGGCTCCGCGGGGTTTACGCCGCCCTGGCCGGCCTCCCCGAGCTCCTCCGCGGCCATGCGGGAAGCCAGGCGCGGATCCCGCGGCGGAACTTTCGCAGGGAAGACGCCCGGCCGGAGGGGCCCCGGTGCCCGCCTTGGCCGCGCCGAAGCTCCGCGTGGCGGCGGAACCGGCTCCCGGCTGCCTTCCGACCCCGCAGGCGCTCCTTCTACTGAGCCGGCCGGCGCCGCAGGGCTGTCCGGCAGCCGCTCCGCCCAGGGGCGGGACGAGGGGGAGGAGAAGGAAGAGGCGCCCAGGGGGAGCTGGAGCCGCGGTTGCCAAAGGGACAGATGGGGGCTTCGGCCAGCCGCCTGCCCCGCGACCTGCTGGGCGAGTACCAGGTGCGGGAGGCGATACCAGGGAGGGAGGGAAGGAGGGAGGGGGGCTGCTGGGGGTCCGGGGGTCCTGCCTGCCTGCCTGCGCGGCCCCTGACCGTCCCTCTCCTGCAGGAGCTGACCTTCCTGAGCAAGCAGGAGATCCTGCTGTGAGTACGCGGGGCGAGCGGGTGGGTGGGCGGGTGGGTCCCCGAGCCGCAGGACTCCCGGAAGCGCCGCAGGAGCCGAGCCAGCCGCCGCCCTGTGCGCCTAGGGCCCGGAAGCGCCGCCTGACCTCCGCCTCGCCTTGCAGCGCCCACAAGCGCTTCTGCCAGCTGCTGCCGCGGGAGACGCGTGCCCAGGCCCTGGAGACGCGCGTGCCCGAGAGCCGCCTCCTGACGCTGCCCGAGCTGCGGGTGAGCCGCCCCGGAGCCTCCAGCTCCCTCCCCTCCCGGGCTGGGCGGCGGGGTGCGTGTATGTGTGGCCGGCACTGAAGCCCCCGCCCGGCTCTTGCAGGCGAACCCCTTCCGCCACAGGCTCTGCCGCCTCTTCTGCACGGCGGAGAACGGCGAGGCGGCGCTCTCCTTCGAGGACTTCCTGGACCTGCTGAGCGTCTTCAGCGACTCGGCCACTCCCGAAATCAAGTCGCATTACGCCTTCCGCCTCTTCGGTAGGGTGGGCAGGCTGCCTCTCTGGAAGGGCCCATGGGGGCTTCGAGGCGCATGGTGGGCTCTTGTGGGCCAGAGAGGAAGGGCCCTGCCCGCCTGGGAGGGAAGGCTGCCTGGGGCTTCAAAGGAAGGGAAGAGGTGGGGGCTGGGGTCCCTTCTCTCCTGGCCTCTGGCTTTCAACCATCCTGGGACATTCCTGCCCTGGAGCCTCTTTTCCCAAGCAAGGCAGGGAAGTTCATCTGCTTTCATCTCCCCCCCACACTTGCTGATTACATGGGGGGGGGGGGAAGTGGCTGTTTCTCTGGGTCCTTGAATCTGTGCCTGTTATCAGAGACTCCCTTTCACCTGCCAAATGGGGGGGGGGGTGTTCTCCCAGGCCTGAATGAACTTGGAGCTCAGCCTTTCCTCCTAAAGACCCCTTACCAGAGCTGAGAAAGCTTCTAGCTTTGGGAATGCTAAGTGCAGCTTCTTGCCCCATTTTTTCCCTAGATTTCGATGATGACGGCGCTCTAGATAAGGAGGATTTGGAGAAATTGGTGAACTCCCTGACGGGAGGAGGAGAAGACAGCAGGCTGAGCCGGTTGGAGATGGAACAGCTCATTCAGAATGTGAGGGGGGGGGGGAAATGAGGAGGGCTAGCAGAAGTGGCACAGCCAACTCTGACCCACAACACCTCCTCCCTCTTTGGGCAGATCTTAGAGGAATCTGATATTGACAAAGATGGGACCATCAACCTCTCCGAGTTCCAGCATATAATTTCCCGCTCTCCAGACTTCACCAGGTACTGCCTGTTTTTTTGGGGTGGGGGTGGGTGGTGGAGCTTTGGCTGAATCAGTTGGGGTTTTTTGGGGAGGGACAGTTGTGCTTTAGAAGGAACCTGGTCAGCCTTTGATGATGAAGCCGTCCTATCTTTTTCTTCCAGCTCCTTCAAGATTGTGCTCTGATTGTTTTCTTCTACAAGTTGCTTGAAGATTCCACCTCTCAGAAAGTGGCTCATTTTCTCACAGCAACAGGAGCCCAAACCTTGACCCATCTAGCTCTGAGAGGCACTTAAACCAGGGCCTTGCAATCATCTCAACCAGCCGGTCTTTCTATGGGGAGGGCTGGGTGGGGCAAGGACATTGGGAGCTGTGGCTGCTGCTATTCTTTGCTTCTGTCTCACCTGGAGGGTCTGAGCGATGGCTTGGGGTGACTGCTGTAGGCGATCAAAACTCAAGAGCAAATTGTAGCAGGGCTTTGACGTTGCTCCTTCTCCTTCTGCCTCCTCGTGGAGCAACTGAGACTTTTTCTATTGCAGGGTCTGAATCACGACCATTTTTCTTGCTTTCTGAGTGGTGGGGAAGAGCAGCAGTCTCTGGAGTTTGATAAATATACTTGTGACATGATTTTGTCTGATTCCTAGTTTACTAAATAAAACTCAATAAATGGAACCCACTCATGTTCCTCCATCTTTATTTCACTTTCCAAAGAACAAGCTCCTCTGTATCGCTCCCAGCACGGCAGAAAGAGCCCAGTTTTGCCTTTGAAGGAGCGAAGAACAGAAAAACAGGAGTTATGCCGTCTTGCCACACATTTCAATCCAACCCTCTCAGGTGGGAGGCTGACAGGAGTAGGACTGCAGGAGCCCCATCCAGTCCTTGGCCAACAGCTCTCTTCCCTCTGGGAGCCCAAAGCAACCCACCAAGAAGCCTGCTTCCAGCGGTGCAAGGAACTTTCCCTGCAGGAATCCTGGCGGGTCCTCATGGAGGGTCCTTGGCCCTTCCAGGCTTTGACACCTCGGATGGTGGGGACTTGGCCTTTTCACAAAACAGCCACTCCAGTTGGTGAAACAGGCCAAGGGAGACGGTTTATGGTCACAGACCACAAACAAGGATCATAATCAACAAACTCCTAAACCAAAGTCAAGCCCCTTGTTAGGGCAACTGCACCTGAGTTAACCAGTGAAGAGATCTGCTGGAAGCAAATGGCTTCCCCCTCTTCAGGCCAGCCAAGCATTTAGGAATGGGGCAATTATTCAGAGCACCAGCTGAGGTTGGAAGGACAGCACAGGAATGGTTTAAATGGCTTCACCCAAGCATGGTGCAAGAGTCACTACTCTTTCCTCCCCTGGAAGGCAAGAGATTACGTCTGTGTGAAACAGACGGGTTATTAAATGTTTCGCTGTGGAGAAAGGTCCCTTAAGGTGTGATGATCTGGAGTCTGGATGATGAAAGACAAAACTTTTGAAATGGGCTCCTTTTAGGAGCCGGCTGTAGCTTCTGTTGTTCTGAAGGACACCCTGAAGGATGCTCCCCGATGCTTTCTGCTCATCAGTGGGTGTCACCAGGACCAGGTCTCTGGTTTTACACACAAAGAAACCACACAGAGGAGTTTTTCTGACACAAAATGGTGCAGTAATTTCCCCCCTAGTGCACAGTTCATTAGAGGTCAGACCAAGGTATCTCCCAGGCTTTCCTTCCCAAAGACAGGATGTTCAACCAGAGTATCTCCTTTCACAGGTGACTTCCAGGCAGGTATTTGGTACCATGCAAGCTACCCTCCCAGCAATGGTTCCCCCACAAGGCTGAAGAAAGGGGAGCCAGGTGCCCGCAGACCCTGAAGAAACCCAGAGGCAGGTTGTCCCATTCCGTCCCCTCCTGGCAGTGCTAAGGACTTCTGGCAGTGCACCGCTTGAGCTGAAGGGCACCCTAGAACGGGAGGCTGTACCTGGTTCTACACCTGGAGGCTACCCCTAAGTGGCATTACTGCCGTGGCAGGAACCCTGCCGCAGAGCTAGAGTGCCTGGCCCTATTCCTTAGCTGAGTGGGGCTGCCCTTCTGCCTGGTCCTCTGCCAGAGTATGGGGACACCAGAAGTTTCTGCCCTGCTCCTTTCAAGCCCGCAGAATGACACTCTTGGGGAAGGTCACACAACTGAGTCCTGGATCTCAGAGCCAAGGCGAACCCGAGGGCGCTGGGCGGGACCCAACACCTCCACGAAAGTCTTGGATATATTAAGTGGTCGCCGATCAGACTCCAGAAAAGCCACAGGGGGGCCGGCTAGGGACTCATGCCCAGGCATGCTCACCACCAGACTCTCGCACAGAGCCTGGTAGCCCTTGTGGTCTGCCAGGGCACCAGGCACATTCAGGCCAGAGAGGGGAGGCATGTTCTCAGCGGGCAGAATCTCTCTGTCCTGAGAAATCCTGGGCTGGGACCAGCCGCATCGGCCTTGCTTCAGGCAGACCTTCAGGCTGACCTGGTGCTTGTGCAGCGTGAAAAGGATCAGCAGCGTCAGGGCAACACTGAAGAGCCCACACATCACAAGGAACTCAGTCCAGTAGGTCCTGCCCTCCAACAGCCCCGAGACGTTCTCCCCCGAGATGCTCCTGGAGGTGCTAAGGGTCTTCAGGGGGTCTTGGGCGGGCACCAACTTGGCCCAGAGCCCTGGCTCCACACTCACACAGTAGCTTGCCATCAACTGCTGGAAGCTGCCCTCATGAGACCAGCATTCGTAGCGCCCCACCTCGGCTGGACTGCCCACCAGCAGCAGCTCTCCCTTGGGCAGCACCAGGACAGCGGAGCTGAGGGCAGCCCCGTTTTGCACCCAGTGCCGGGAAGCCAGGTTGGACAGCAGTGGGCAGGGCAACGGCATCACAACGTTGGGCTGGAGCACCACCTGCTGACATGGGGCTTGCTCTCCTGGAGGAGGGAGAGAGAGAGAGAGAGGGAGGGAGGGAGGGAGAGGGAGAGAGAGAGAGAGAGAGAGACCGTCAGAGCTGGCTTTGTAGAACCAGCATTCTCAACAGCTAACTTGGCTCCAGCACAGGAGAAACCAATCCCTGCATGATGCTCCTGGGCTTTGGAGCCAGAAGGAGAAGGCCGGTTTCACTCCCCTCCTTCCCCCAACTTTCAAATCCCAACCCCATCAGATGTGACCCGTTACCTTCTGAATGGCCGAGTTCCACGCCGCTGGTCTGGCAAAGCTGGCTTGTCTCAGCCCCTTCGATGTCCTGAACCCAGGTCCTGTTGGGAGAAAGAGCGTGAGGCCTGGGAAAAAGGGGGAGGAGGGGTACCCCCAAGAACCACGTGCCCCTGTAAGTACACCACGCAGAGGAGAAGAGCAGCAAGGGACCGGGAGAAAGGAGGGGGCTGCTTCCCACACACCATAAGGACCGGGGGTTGGAAGCCAGCCTGTGGCAGGAAGCACTCACACTGACTGGAGTGGCCAAGGGCTGGAGATAAACAGCTGACAGGCCCCTCTACTCCAGGCACAGTAAGGGTCTCCAGCCAGGACACATTCTCCACAGCTCCGATAGAGACTGCAGTTGGCCACGGGCACCTGTGCCAGGGCATCATATGAGGCAGCATAAACCAGACCCTGAAGGAAGAACAGGAGACCTTAAGGCATCTTCATCCAAGAACATTGGAAGAGGCTGTGCCACAGTTACTCTGCCACCTCCTGAGGGCAGAGGCATTGCTCAGGCATCAGAAAAGATGCCTCTGCTTTGATTAGGAGGGTGGGGGGGCTTCTGTTCTGATCCAGTGGCAGCCGCCTCTTGCGAACGAAGCAGGGACCCAGAAATGCATCCTTCCCAAGCAGTAGAAACAAGGCAGCGGCAGCTGCTGCCTGTCTGGCCCTGATTCAGAAGCCCTCCAAACACCTGGCCCAGAGGCTGCCCAGCCACCTGCTTCTCTCATGCAAAGAACTGGGGCAGGGTCCCCCGGCCTCCCCTTGGCTTCCACTCTTGCCTGGGTAGAGTCCAGCAGCAGCTCTAGGACAGGTTGCTCCGGAGGGAACAGCTGAATCTCCTCAATGATCCGGACTCCTCGCCTCGTGATCACTGCCTTATGCAGGCGACCATCATCTACAAGGCACAAGAGGTGCCCGTTGAGAGGCCCATGGGCTGCCCCCATGCCCCTCTCCTTCTTCCCTGCGAGGAGGACTTCTTTGCTTCTTTGCATCCACCATCTGAGCTCCGAGAAGATGGGAAAGGCCCAGCTTTGGATCTAGCATCACCTCTGTCTTTCCTTGGCTTGCATTGATCCCCCTCCTTTTTTCCCCTTCAAATTCCAAATCCGCAACTCACGCAATCTGCACACAAAGCCATTTATATGCTGGCTTGATCAGCCTGAAGCCGTGGCAAAGCCAAGGCGGCAGCAGCAACAGAATGAAGGAAACTGGCTTCCCTGCCCACCTTTCTGCCAGTCTTGCTCACCTGTGCCCAGAAACAAGACATCGTAGGTTTGCTGCAGACTCTGGACACGCTGCACACTGAGCTGCTGGTAACGAGAGCGGGGCTGCACAAGGAGGGCCTGGCTCCTCACCGCGCTGTTCATGAGGAAGTGGTCCTTGAGGTAGTTCAGAACCCGATCCGGCATCTGCAGGGAAGAGCTGATCTTCATCTGGCGGCTCTTGTGGTTGATGCACTGGGAAGAGCAGGAGGTTTCTGGTGAGCCCGAGCAGAGCCCTCGCCCACCCCTGGGCCTCCCTCCCTCCGGATTGCTCTGGGGAGAAAACCAAGAGGTTTTGGAGTTCCTCTTTGGCCTGCTGCTCTGCGAGGCTCCTAGCCTTCAACTGTTTTAACCAAGTGTCCCAACAGAGGCTTTCTCAGGAAGGAACTTTGCTTGCTTTTTCTCACCCCCCAAAAGAGGCTAGAATTTGGATAGTGCTAAGTTTGGAAGTTTAACCCAAACACAAAAGGTAGGAGCAGCACAAGAATTTACAAAATCTGTAGTTCAAGTCTTGTTTTTAAAATAATGTGGTTAAGATGTCTAGACACTCACAGAATTATTCTGCCAACAACATGCAGGCGAAGATGAACATTTGCAGATCTACGGCAAAAAAGCAGAGCAGCACCAGCAGCTGGGAACTCCAGAGCAGACTGACGCTGCTGAGAGTGGCCAGGGCGCATGGCTGACTTACTGAAATGTGATGGGGAAGAGGAGAAATCTACTGCACCAGGAATCTGAATGGTGGGGATAGGGAGACCCGCCGTGAAGGAAAGCTGCAGTTTCCTTTGCATTTCAGACAGCCCAGCCCCCCACCGCCTAGCACTGGCCTTTGAGCTGGCTGCCCGTGAAGGGCGTCCCTCCTTCAGTCTGGTCCCAAGGGCTACAGGGCTGGGCAACAGTTTAACTTGGAAGCTTCTTTTTCACAAGGAAATCACATTTCTGGTGCATCCGGTTTAATCATGGATTCATCATTTGGACCAGATGAAGTTTTTCCAGCCCCCCCCCCCTTTTTTTTACTGTCTGGAGCAAAGGGGGCCGATTTCAGTCACCCACTTCAACTCCTGCTGAGAAAGCAGCCCAGTTAAGGCACCCCAGAAAGTGGCTGTTCAGGCTCTTCTTCCACACAGCATCAGAGTTAGTTAGGTGTGTGGATTAAATGACAGCAGTGACTTTTTGAGGACACTGGCTGGGACCACTCCTCACTTTGAACCCATGAAGGACTTTGCTGGCTGCTCTGATTTTGATTTAGCAGTGATCTCAATTCCTGATCAATTAGCATCAACCAATGATAACACTGACAAATTAATTTGAAGCCTTTATAGGAAATAAGACAACTATGAGAGCCCTCAGCAGAGTCCTCCCTAAAGGACAGAGAGCAAAAGGGGAAATAAAGGGAGAAATTAAATCACAGGAGAAACCACCTTCTACCAGTTACCCACAGTTGATGAAAACACCCATCAGAATCCTCACTGCTCTCTCCTCCTTCAGGGGGGATGCTGCAAATCATCACAATGCTCCACAGGGGAGCAACCAAAGCCACCCAGGCCCTTGTTGTCACAGAATTCTCATAGTAGCTTAGAAGAAAGAGTTTGGCTAACCAGCTGGAATGGGGGCAAAGGATGGTTCCTGGCTTTTACACAGCGGCTTCCTATCAGGCTCCTGTCCTTTTCAGCCTGGCACATCTTCCAATCCCAACAGTCAGAAGATCAGATCATTACTAGCTGCTCCGTTTTGGAAGGTCTCCTGATGAGATGGGCAAAGCGCAAAGGGGAGGCAACTGCCCCAAGACTACCCAAAATAGAAACTGCAGCCCACCCAATACTTCCTCACACGACCCTTTTCCAAAGGTTGCTGGGCCTTCGGCAGCACCCCCTTCCCTCTGCAACCGGTATAGTAGATATTAACCAGACCCCCTTTTAGTCCAGACTCTCTCTCTGTTTGTTAGATGCAGGGCTGATCTGATCTGAGTGCTGTGAGCTATTGTAAGTTTTGCAACTGCTAGTAAACTTTGAGTTCTGAACTGATTATATGATACTGGTCTATGTTATTTGGATTATCCCTTAACTGAAAGACATTGATGACTGACTGAGTTATCTGTGTATGACTTGGACTGTTTTATGGACTGTGATACATCCATTTC